TCTTGATACACATGTTTTTGCCTCTATATCCACCACAAGATCACCAAAATGGATAATAGATTCTGGTGCATCTCTACATGTCATAAGTGCTGCTAGTGTGTTCTATTCCCATACTCACTTAGCAATTTCAGAGTTCATTCAGACCATTATTGATATTTCCTTTCTGGTGAATCTTTTATTTATTAGTGTTATTATATTCTAATTAATGTGTTATTTCTTTTGATATCTCTAAGGTGATTTTTCAAGAGAATGGGACTGGTCGGAGACTTGTGATTGACACGTGACAGTGGACTGCAGTTCTTGTATAGAGAGGGGATGGACTCAGTTTTGATATCCATGGTAGAGAGTGCTGGAGTTGGTGGGTTTGGGAGGAGTGTGATGGATGTGTTGTTGTTACATTACAAGCGCATAAGATAGTTTTTGTTTAGTTTATTAAGTGTTTTATATTTGTCTTTATATGAAAAAAATAAATAAAAACTTATGTGTGATGTTTGTGAGTTTGGTAGGAATACCAGGAGCTCTTATGTTAGTTATGGTAATAGAAGTTCTTGTGTTTTTTATTTTGTGCATTCAGATGTATGACGACATTGTTTTACAACTTCGATGAATTGTTACAGATATTTTGTGACTTTCATTCATTGTTTTTCTTGTGTTACATGGTTGTATCTGATGAGATGCAAAAATAATGTGTTTGTCTGCTTTAAAGGACTTTTGTAGAGCGATTCAGACTCAATACGGTGCAGTAGTGAAGATATTAATGTTTGATAATGAAATAAAGTATACCAACAAGATGTTTGATGAGTACCCATCAGCCGAAAGGATTCAACATCAAACCACATGTTCATACACACAAACACAAAATAGAGTAGCTGAGAGGAAGAATAAACTCTTTCTGGAGGTAGCCTGAAGCATGATTATCTCGATGAAAGTCCCAAAGTACTTGAGGGTCAATAAAATACCCTCAAGAGTATTGGAGTGGCAACCTCCTTGTGAGTTGTTGGAAGGAGGTAATGGTGTGATCCTTCCGTTGAAGGTATTTGGCTGTTTAAGTTTTGTGAAGGATAATAAACCATTTATAGGGAAGTCGTATCCCATAGTTGTGAAGTGTGTTTTCGTGGGTTATTCTGTCACCCATAAAAGATATGTTTGTGGGAGCCCGATAGAGAAGAGACTTTTTATTAGTATGGATGTGATTTTTAGAGAATTGGAACTGCACTGCACATGGAAGGTGACCTCACCTTTTGGTGACTTACTAGATATTGGAAGTATGAGGCGATGGGGGAGAGTAGTGATGGTGAGAAATTGGTACATGTGAATACAATGCATTGTCATGTTGTGCGGGAAGGATCAACTGAGAAAGAGTTGGAAAATGAAAAAAAATGAGCTCAAATGTGGTGGTATTCAAGCTTAAGGGGAGTTGAGGGTCTATATCAGGAGGCGACATAATGAGAGAATAGTGTTTGTTGTGTCACTCGTGTCAACAAGTCTCTTGTCTCGGTCTACCCTGATTTCTGCGCCTACACTATCAACATTAGAATTTGATTACACAGGTGATATGATTCATTTTCCTTCCACTCCAACTCCCATGACTTTAAAAAGGACCTCTCACAACAATGTTGTTCATCCTCGAGATCGTTGTTCTCCTTATTGTTTTGTTTTCTTATATGATATTGTCCAATTTATCTCATACTCTAACATATCACCTTTACACGGAGTATTCATTGCGCCTTTGAACTTTGTCTCTATACCCAAGTGTTAACAAATAGCTAAAGACAATTCAAAGTGGGATGTCGTCATGCTGGAGAAATTTGGTGCTCTCAATATGAACAGGACGTGGGAGTTCACACTGCTACCAACAAGGAAAGAGATAATTGGGTGCAAATGAGTTTTCGTGTTGAAGCAGACCTCTGATGGAAAGATTGATCGCTACAAAATATGATTGGTAGCAAAAGGGCATAATCAAACGTATGACTTCAACTATGATGAGATATTTACAACAATGACAAAGACGAGCACAAACAGGATACCCGTCTCTCTGGCTGTGAATTGTGGATAGAGGTTATATCAACTGGATGCGAAGAATGTGTTTCTTCATGGGGATTTGCTAAAGGAGGTCTGCATGGAAATACCCCTTGGCTCGACACAAACCAAACAGTGGGCAAGTATGTGACTAAGGAAGTTACTGTACGGTTTGGAATAGCCTCTTTTTGTTCTACTATGGTTAATTTATTTACTATTGGCAATCTCTTTTCATGTACTAGTTTGGTTCACTTTATTATCATGCACCATGTATAGTGTACCATGCAATCTCTTTTCATATACTAATTTTGTAAAAATCGGGCCGGTCATTATTGAACTAGTAAGAAATAGAGGTTCAATGTTCGATAGTTGAACAGAGGTTGATTAGGGATTGAATCAGATGACAAAAAATAAATATTACTTGGAACAAAGTAATATAACCATTAGTTGTAAATTTAAAACTCAATATAAATCACTTTAAGATATAATTGTATGTGCATTATATATATTATATTTAAAAATTTATAATTTAGATATATTAATATAAGTATAGTTTATATTAAAAACATAATTTATAATGACAAGGTAATTTATCATAATTAATAAAAATGCAAAGTTTATAAGAAGTTTAAAAATGAAATTGTTATTATAATTTGATACATATCCTGCAATCCTTTAATATTCTCAAAACCCAAATTTCATGACCTGATTCCTTATCTCGATAGCCCAACCCAAATTTATGCATACTCAAAAGTGTTTTTAGTCCTACATCATAAGAGACAGTATTGCATAGTTTATATGGAAAACCTTTAGAGTTTGAACTCGTAACTCAAATTTTTGGTGGGCATGCTATAGATTAGCTTGATTAAGCTCTTACTAATTAAATTTAAGTTTTTAAAATCTATATTTATTAGTCTAACTCGTTTTAATCTATAGATTTTATTTTTATAGAAACATTTTTAATTATTCGATTGAAAAGCTGAAGTAATTATAACTGTTATTTGGACCTGCCAAATTTATCTTACGGGGACCAGGTCGATACAAAAGTGATTCTGGACCTGCCTAGTTCGCTGGTCTAACCGGTTGTTCGCTCCGGTCTTCACATGTTTGATACAAAAATGATTTTTGAGGATATTCGGGCCGGCTAATATGCCTTGTTCCAGTCAGCTTTTTTTTTATAGAAAAATTATTTACTCTTGGATTGAAAAGCTGAAGTGATATAAAATTGTTATTTGGACCTTCCGAATTAATCTAATGGGGACCGGTTAGCTGGTCTAGTCAGTATTTCACACCGGTCTTCACATGTTCGATACAAACATGATTTTTGAGGTTGAACGGGCTGGCTGTATGCCTTATTCACGGTTGGACCGGTCGACCCGATCTGATTTTTAAAACTTTACTTTTTTGTTCATATTTCTATACCTTAAATACTTAATGCAAAGGAAGAGCCTTTGCCGTACATATTAAATGCAGAGAGAGCATGATGGAGCTTTAGCTTTCCAAACTTGTTCGAATTACTATTTGTTGTTATAGTCATGCTCTAGCTCTCAAGAAGGGATAATAGTAAACTTAAGGCATGAACTTCAATATGAAAGATGAAAGTTGATATAAGTCAAACTCAGTCGATCAGTGATCATATTACATTGGTTGATATGTTCTATGGAGGCACCTTTCACCATCTTAAAATTAAAGAATTTTCTTATGTGAAAAATTTTACTTTCTGCGTGTGGTTTCATTTACGTTTTCAATAGAACTTTCATCAAAACTTTTATCAATATAGTTTTTGTGTTTTTTGTTTAATATTCTGCGAAGTGACACAGCGTTAACCTAAATCACAATAGAAAAAACAAATAATATTGTCAAAAATAAATAAACGGTTACAACCAAACACATTTGAAAGAGAAATTATAACAAATACAACACAACGATACTCTGAAAAAGGACATAACAACAAATGCCAACATAAATTCAAACTAGGGACCACGGGGTGGTGGTAGTGATTGACGAGGGGGGCGGAAGGTGGACAGATTGTGGAAGAGCTGGCCAGCCAATGGGAAACAGCAAGGTAGTGATGTCCCAGGATAATGACGTGGAACAACTGTTCTGGATGATGGCAGCAACTGGGAAAGGGGCAGGGCACAGGTTCTAGAGGCGGCAGCATGTGGGAAGGAAAGGAACGGTGGCTGGGGAGGCTGGAACAAGCAGGGGCAGCGGTATGGTTGTGGAGGGGATGGTAGAACAGCCGCAAGGCTGCAGGAAAAAATGTTCTGGATGGCTGGAACAGCAGGAAACCAGCTGAGAATGGCTATTCGGTTCGTCAGCAGCAAGTGGGAATGACAGTGGTAGTGACGGGTGATGCCGGGGACTGCAGGACAGGAAGACGATGGCTGTCCGGGGCGGCGGCAGCGAGGACAAGTGTCTGTAGCAATGGAAGAACTTCAGTGAAAACAGCAACATCGGCTGTTCGGAGGTGGCTGCAGCAATGGAAGGCGGTTAGGAGCGACGTGGTGAGGATGAGGAAGGGGATAGGAAAGATAATCACCACATAGGGAAATTGATACAACCTGTGCACCACTCAAACTCTCAGATACCGGCTGCAAAGGGAGAAACCGATACTTGCTGCGGTTCTGAGTAAAGCTCAGAAAAAAACTGAACCTAAAACATCCGAAATGTGAATATATAATAATAGGATAACTAGGAGTTATCCTAGAAGATTAAACAACTCCTCTGAATGGGAAAAAAAAAGCTAGACTGAACCAGACTAGAGAAACAGCCAGCTTGCAGCTGCTTTCGTGGGACTCCCGGTTTTGGGGGAGCTTCCACCTCATCCGTCGAGGCTTCTATCTACTCATAGTAGCCAATACCCATTTCAAATATATTAATTTTATTTCATCCAAAATAGAGAAAATACAACATCAATATAAATACAGCTTTAATTCTAATGAGAATTCTGGTTCTCTCAATGTGACTAATGGTTCCAGGTGCACCACAAGCTCTCCTGCAGAGCTGCCTCACATTTGGAGCATTCTCCTGCATTATGGAAGGCCTCAACAAGCAACAGCCAGCATTAGCTCTCCCATCTTCTGCTTCCAAGGAGAACACCAATGGTCCTCTTAATGTTCTTCCTCCCTTCACTCTCCCCCTTCCAGTTGTCGAAGGTTTCTCCTCATTCTGCAAATCTCTACCCAGATCCAGGTTCGCCGCCTTTCCATGATTCTCCAAGCCACCTTTTTTTTTATTTTATTACCATGAAATTTTTGTAAATGTGGAGGGGAAATGAGTAAAATTTCCTTCTAATTTTGTGCCTTTCCGTAGCTCTCTTACTTGTCTTGTAGGTTTCTTAAAAACTTCAATAAGTTTTGAATTTTTTTTAAACTTATCAAAATAGGGGTCTTAAAAACCTGCAGTATAGGGAAAAAAGAGAGTTTGTTGTGTGTGTGTGTGTGTGTCAGGTGCAAAACTTAGTTGTTGCAGTGAAGCTATCAATATCAATTAATCACTTTTATAAGAAAACCAAGCAATCTGAAAATAGGATGTGCACAAATCAGTGTTAATCATGACGTTCTAAGATTCAAATATTTTGCAGATTTCATTAACTTTATAGGAATGATTTCAAGCTTATGAATAATTAAGCAATCCAACATGTCATTAGATGGCATGTTATGAGATAAAATATTCTTTTTGGGTGTGCAAAGAAGCATGATTGTTATGTCAAAAATTTAAAATTGAAGAGAAAATTAATTTTAATTTCTCAGTTGTCTCACTTTGCATTTGTATGCCAAGTTCTTTATAACTTTCGTATGATAAAATAAGTATTTGAAGAGCTCTCTAGTTGACTTGGGAACCGGTTTGGGCTTGACTCAATAAATGAATGTTGAGTTGAGCTCGATGAGTTAATCAATCAAGTTTGAGCCAACCCTGACTCACCAAACTCACCAGTCAAATGAAGCTCAAGTTGAAATTTGGTTAATCAATCAAGCTCAAATTAAATTTGATTAATTAATGAAGCAAAAAATATTCAATTGGTAACATCATTTGTTGGCCTTTAGTTAGGATTGGCTTCCTTTCTTTATGATGAATTTGCTTTTACTTAAAGTCGGGAATAGTTTAAAGTTCTATATTCCTTTATTATATATATATATTACATTGGTTGATATATTCTCTAACATGGTGAAGTTTACTTTCATCTATGGAATTAGAATTTTCTTCTTGATATAAAGCATTGATTTGACTGAAGATTCCTGCTAATTTCAAATTTGAATGAGAGGCATTTACATGCATGCCACCCATTTTTCATATATTTACACACCTGATATCAAATTTTCCTTACATTTGTATCTCCCAAGTCTTTTAGATCACAAAAAATGGCACCCATTTTAATTTTTAAAAAGTGAAATAGAGTATTATAAATTTATTTTTCTGAGAAAAAGTTTTCTAGAAGTTATTATATTCTCATAGATCTACTTTTTGAAAATTTTCTCTCCACTAAACTTGTGAAATATATATAATATTCAAATATAAATTTGAGCATTTAAATTAGAACCAAAAAAGGCAACTCAGTTGTGCCAAAATCATCTTGCTTCTAGGGGTGTAAACGAACCGAACATGAACGAGTAGATCTCTTGTTTGTGTTCCGTTTGTTTGAAATTAAGTATATTTGAAATATGCTCGTATGCGAAATTGTTTGTGAAGGTATTGTTCATGTTTAGTTTGATTTGTTTGAAATATGTTTGAATTGTTTGAATTGCTTGAAATCTTACAATTTGTTTTGTATTGTCTGAATTGTTTGAAATATTTCAAAAGTTTAACCTGTATGAAATTAATGTTTGATTTATATGAATAACAACACAAATGCACAATAACTGAAGCACAACTAACAACAAAATCATCTTTTCAAATCTCATCCATAATTAATTCAAATCTGGAGGCAACATGCGAGATTTCACTGTCAAAAACTTCAAAATAGGTTTCACTTCAAGAAACTAAATAAATCTAAAAGAAATAATAGAAGATTTAAGCTAAGAGGCGAACCTGAAGATAAATATGCAATTATAGGATTTAATATGAGCTAAGAGATGAATCTGAAGATATATATGTTTTGTTTCACTCGAAGATTGTTAATCGTTTGAAGATTGATAGGAATGTTGGCTAGACTAGAGACCATATCAAAATAAATGAGTCTAGCTAAGAGCCAAAATTCTAGATCAAATTTGTTTTTCGGGCTGATTTCGAGACACATTGAGAGGATCAAACTAGCTCGAGATTGGCTAGAAATATTTTTTTTATATAAAAATGATAGATGTAATACTAAATGAAATTTAATATAATGAGTCACAAATCAATTTTGAGCTATAACAAATTCAAGTAACTCAATTTGAGACAGCTAGTTTCAATTTTCAGGCTGATTTCGTGTTCAAATAACTTAATTTGAGTCGGCTAGTTTCAATTTCGAACCGGATTGACCTCGATTCAATTTCGAACAGAGCTATCTCAAAATTGAATATAATGAGCCATGAGCTGCACCATTCAAGCAGATTTTGAGGTGATCCTAGTTCGGCTCGAAATTGGATCGTTAACCGCCCTATATATTTGTGCTTAGAAATAGTTCATGCTCCAAAATTTCATGATTCATTTGTCTGGAGTAACCATATTCATGCATGCTTATTCTAAATGTATTTTAATTTATGGGCGTTTACATACATACCACTCAATTCCTACGGTCTTATATATACAACACTTTAATATTACTTTTTTTACATTTCTAACACCTAATTTTTTTACATGGAATAATAGAAAATACCATTATTTTAAATTTTAAAAGTGACACACTTTCATGCAAAATTAAAGTTTTTTTTTTCTTTTGTGTTAGATATGTAAATACATAAGAATTGGGTGGTATGCATGTAAATCTTCCTTTAATTAAATATCTGAAGAATTTAGTGGTTGAAGTTAGAATTTCTTGTGGAAAATATTATGAAATTGTGGTATTGTTATTCAAATATTGTTGGTAAGTACAGAAGACTAGGAATGCCATGAGAAACATCAAAGGTTCGTACACATAATGATGACATCTTTCTGTAACTATTGCAATTAGTCAAACTAACATTTTTACCCTTATGGTGGCAGATTTGTAAAACCCTACTATTTTAATAAATCCAAATGAAATTATAAATTTATATGGGGCATTTACGTACATGTCACTCTATTGCTTTGTATTTATTTGTCTAACGCCTAAACTTTGCTTTTCTCGATTTTTGTCACCCAAATCTTTCATATCATATTGTATACACTAGTATTACCGACACAAATTTTAAATAGAACTAAAGGCCCAGAATACAAAGCATTGCTTCAAGAAAAGCGATCGAGGGACAATTCAACGCCAAGCATGAGAAGCTGTGTCTCTAAACCCAAGATAGGTCAAAGCTCCGAAAATGGTTCCCAATTCGATAGCGACAAAATCATCCAAGTGTAATGTGCAAATCATCCCGACAACGAGTCCCGTCAGATGCTCTGCATAGGCAGCGACAAGATCCGCCCAAGTCCTTGCTAAAGGGAATATCCGGCCGAGATGACAAACCGATCAGATGGACGAGACTAGTCATGTAAGACTTGAGCCAAACTGCAAGTGAGCCACGACTCCCCCAACGAAACATGTTGACCCATCAGTCGAGCGACCAATCGAAGCAATAGATCTCACAGAACCAATCAACTAGCCTCTTGTCAAGATGGCCGACCATATTTGGACCACCCTCTCGACATGACGGATTTCAGTGTACAACCTACAAAATCGGTCACCCGCCAGCTGACATTATTTATTCAAACTCATAAGTCAGTGTAAACTGTTGACGGTCATTAATTCAAATTATACACAATAAATCTATTTAAGGACAGTTACAATAACGGCTCTCACATTACTTAATTGTACTAATTAGACCCCTTTAAATAGACAGTCGCAGGTGGAACTGGGAGACATATATAAAAATAATAAAGTTTAGTTGTTAGATATGTAAATACATAGGAATTTTGTGGTTTGTATGTATAATATCCGGGAAATTTACATACATATCACTCAATTATTATGTATTTACACATGTAACTCCAAACTTTTAATATTGACATTTATAACACTAAAATAAATCAAATTGAGTGCAAAACTTCATTAGTTTAGATAACTGCAGATTAATAAATGCGTTTACCAACCGATCAAACTCATAAATGTATTAAAACAGTTTTTAATCAAAATGTATTTATTAAAAACAAAAAAAAACTTGGAAGACCGCAAATCTACCTACGACTTCACCGTTATGTACCAAAAAATATATAGATAGAAGTAGGGCTGTCAAAACGACTCGTTGTCCGCGAACAACTCGTGTTTGACTCGTTAAGAAACTCGTGTTCGGTTCGTTCGCTAAATTAACGAGCCGAACACGAGCAACACGAACGAATGTTTGTTCATTCGTGTTCGGCTCGTTTTGGCTCGAAATACTACTAATCAATTTTATATATATCTTTGATAAGTAGTATTTTTTAAAAAAATTAATTGACTACAAGACTACAATGATTTATAATCAATTAAAAATATTAATGAAGAAAATATAATAAAAATTATTAAATTAGATTCAAATGATATTTTAAATCTTGCTCCAATCTTTTAACATCTTATGGCTATGTGATTAGGGTTGTCAAATTGGCTCTTTGTTCGTGAACGGTTCTTGCTCGGCTTGCTAAGCAAACGAGTCGAACACGAACATACTTTTGGAACTCGAAATATAAACAAGCCACTCAGCTCAGCTCGTGTTCAGCTCGTTTACACCCCTAGATAAAAGTACGATGAATGGCACAATGGAAAATACATTATGTTCGCATTAATGCAAAATGATCAACAATAAGCAATAAAATAAGGTATTTAGTTTAATAATATTTAAGAAATAATTATCTAATGTAATTATTGCGCCATAAATATTTTTTGCCATATTATAACAAAAAAATGTGCATTTTCTACTTGTTGCGTGTTAGAATATTTATGATATTAAAATATATTAATGATAACAACAATTTGATCTCATTTAATTGAAACGATCAACTATGTGAATGAATATACAAAAATATACTCATCTTCATAATTAGAAAATATGAGTTTAAAAACTTTCTAACTCTAACTTGGTCTTCTGTGATGGTAACATAGAGATTGCTGGAGAAATAGTGAATGGTGACTATTGTTGGCTAATGATGGTTGAGAGATGCTAGCAAATGATGTTAGTTGGACGATTAAGATTAAATTAAGTCATTCAGGTAATTAGTGGGAGGCAACTATTAGGTAAAATCGGTTGAGTAATCGTGATTAGACAATAACAATTATGTAACGTCGATTGTTGGCAATTGCTGTTAGTATTAATCTTTAA